TAACTAGCTACTGTATCTGTAGGCGTTTTAGAAATCCTTATTCTTTCTATTATTATTTTTTTATTAAAGATTTGGCTAATCATATCTTTACAGAGCATAGATTATTCAATCAAAGTCCAAATTTGTAAATCATCGCTTTATGACCGCTACACTTAGGCCGCTTACACCACCTCAAGTAAATGACATGGCCTCTCGCGTATTCGACAAGACCATGCCAACTCATGAATTCATGACGCAGTCAAACCAGCTACATCAGGTTGGGAAATAAACTTACCATAAGCTAGCTCAATACAGCGACTTTTGTCCACTTAAGGAGCAGATTTTTTTCTCTATTCAAAGTATATCCTTTCTTATGACCATTACATCCTGTACTCGATTGCTCCTCGAATGTCGACTCACCAAGACTTCTGCCTGTGATTTTCGCAAGGATCTTAGTAGCACACAGATTTTATCCCTTAGATACGATTCATGCATAAATAATTAATAAAAAAACATGATATTAATAATTTGGATTAGCCCCTTATTGTAGCTACTCCCTCACGGACAAGCCATGCGGCTTCACTTACAAATTTGTAAAAGAGTTTTGTCATGCTTTTAGACCTTGGGACGGCATTTCTATTACACTTTAATACAGCAAGCATGCCGCCTTCTTCAAAAGACTTCAATTAAGTAGGGTTGGAAATCGCTAAGTTGATACTAGACCCAAACTAAAAATAAGAGAAAGCCCTTTCTTAAGCAGGGATATATGTAGGCAGCCATCATATGATAGCTCTTCGCTTAATTTATTCTCCAACCATAGTTACAAAATGAAGGTTGGCATTTTAAGATTCAGGTTTATTCAGGGCATACGATTAGCCGATCGAGCTTATTAAGATAATGAACTGAATTGGCTTAAACTAGTATTACTGAAACATATTTAAGCCCTAGGCTTGCTTAAAAATAACATTAAATTACAAAAAATAATATTATGGGTGGGGAAGTTGCAACGAGGGGTAAAAAGGAGATACTTTCACATATCTTGACCTGATTTTGGTGTGTTATCTATAAATAGACAGGCGAGCTAGTAAGGAAGTGGGGAGTATAAATGCTCTTCAAGGAAGCTATGACACTTTCTTTAGTTATACCCACTTAGAGAGAAAGTTGACCCATCATTTTGATAAGGTTGCTCACACGGTCATTTTTATTTGGAAGAGACTTGCCGTCCCATTCAAAAAAAGGTGGCTGAGTACAAATGCGCCTGTAGAAGATGTTGGGTTCCAAAATTAGAGCTAGCGGAGCAAACGGCCAAAAGTGGACGTTAGATTAAATGGTCGTTTTGCGGATTATAATATGTCCGCAACTAAGCACAAAATTAGAGGCCACTGAAATCAAAGCATTTGGTGATACAATATATGTCATGAATACCGGTAAGAAATTAAGTAAGAACTGCTAGTTTAATCTAAGGTATGAAGACCAAGATGGTGTGGCCTTTTGTGTGGTCGCAGTCTCCTTTCGTTGTATA